TGCCTCAGAGAGTTGGACAATGACTAGGGAGGATAGAAGGAGAATTGATGCCTTTGAGCTGTGGTGCTGGAGAAGAGTACTGAATGTACCATGGACTGCTAAGAAAACAAACAGGTTCATCTTGGAGAGGGTTAAACTGGGCTGCTCTTTGGAGGCAAGAATTCTGAGGCTTTGTCTGACATACTTTGGATATATTGCAAGGAGGGACCAGTCCTTGGAGAGGGACATCATGCTTGGGACAGTGGAGGGACAGTGCAGGAGAGGAAGATCCTCTATGAGGTGAATTGATTCAGTGACTGGAGTAATCAGGATGGGGGTGTCAGAGACAGTGAGATTGGCACAGGACAGAGCAGGGTTTAGGGCTGTTGTACATACGGTCGCTATGAGTTGCAGGTGACTCGACAGCACATAACAACAACAACAACATACACAAAGCATGTAAGACAAAGCTTTGTCATCTCTGCCTCCCAGGAATACTTTGTCCAGCACCTATCTGGTTGTTCTTTTGGCAGTCCATGGGTATTCAGTACTCTTCTCCAGTACCACAGCTCAAAGACAGCAATTCTTCTTTCTTCTGCTGCCATCCTTCTTCACTGTGCAGCTCCCAGATGCAGAGCAAGTGATTAAAAAGACCAAGGCTTGAATTGTTGTTATGTATAGTCAAGTTGCCTGCAACTCTTTGTGACCCCATGCACAATAGCTCTAATTCCTGTCCTATCCTGAGCCAATCTCACAGTGTCTGACATATTTCACCCATTTCCACAGTCACTGTGTCAATCTATCTCCTCCAGAGCCTTCCTCTCGTGCTGTCCCTCCATGCTTTCAAGCATGACGCCTTTCTTCAAGGACGGGACCCTCCTGGCCATGTACCTATAGTATGTCAGATGGAGCTTCAAAATTCTTGCCTCCTCCAGAGACTTGTACATCAATGTTCATAGCACCATTACTCACCATGGCAAGAATATGGAAACAGCTCAAATGCCCAATTACAATAGAATGGATTGAGAAATTATGGTACATTCACACAATGGAATACTATTGCAGCATGGAAGAGCAATGATTTTGTAAACTACTATCTATCATAGGGGGAACTAGAGAACATTATGCTAAGTGAACTAACTCAGTCTCATAAGGACAAATACTGTATAAGACCATTATTGTATAATGAGTATGAGAATACAAGGAAGAAGGGGAAGGGAGGTGCTTAATCATAGGGTCACACAATTTGATGGATGGAGGGAGGGCTGGGTAAATGAAAGGGAGAAGATCCGGTGTGAAAAACAATGTATACAGATTTTATGAACTTTATATGTAAACCAGTATAAAATAAAAAAACCAAAATTTAAAAATTCTTGCCTCCAAGGAAAAAATTGGTTTCACCCTTTCTAGGGAAAACCTGTTGGTTCTGCTGGCAGTTCATGGTTATGTTAAATACTCTTCTGCACAATCACAACTCAAATCATCCTTGGCCAATGTCCAGTTCTCTGATATGTAACAAGTAGTTGTGTAGACCATGGCTTAGGTGCACCTAGTCTCTAGATTGACATCATTGTTCTTCAGCATACTGGAGCTGTACTTGATAGCATGCTTTCATGGTGCAATTCATCTTTAGATTTCCTGACTGATGATGCTAAGAGTATTGGTTGTGGAGCTGAGCAAGCTGAAATTATTATCAACTTCAATCTCTTCCTCATCTCTCATGGTGCTGCCAACAGGACCAGTGGTGTGAATCTTTGTCTTCATGATGCTGAGCTTCAATCTGTATTGAAGACTGTCGTCCTTGACCTTCTGCATCAAACACCTGAGGTTCTTCTTAGCTTCAGCAAACAAAGTTTGTGTCATCTGTATAAAGCAAGTTGTTGATGTGACTTCCTCCAATCTTAATGCCACATTCTTCCTCATAAAGTCCAGCATCCTAAATGATATGTTCTTCATAGAAGCTTAAAAGCTATAGAGACATGATACATCCCTGACGCACTCCTTTTCTGATTTTGAACCATGCAGTGTTTCCTTGCTCTGTTCTGACGATTGCTTCCTGATCCAAGTACAGGTTTTGCATGAGCACAATTTAGTGTCCTAGGATTCCCATTCCTCTCAAGGTTAGCCATAATTTGTTGTGATCCATACAGCTAAATGCTTTTTCATAGTCAACTAAACACAGATAGTCAGTCCTCTGGTACTCTTTGCTTTCAGCCAAGATCCACCTGACATTTGGCTATGATGTCCCTAATGCTATAGGAGGATTTCAAGAATATCATTTATGAAGAATTCTTTTTTTTTCCCATGAAGAATTCCTAAGGTCATTACTAAGACAGAGGAGGAAGAAAGACTGAGATGGATGTTAGCAGAGACTCTGAATACTGCACTAGAATGCACTAGAAGCCAAAGCAGAGGGAAGAAAGTAGGAAATTAAGGAGCTGAGCAGATTTCAAAGGGCAGCTCAGGAAGACAAAGCAAAGGTTTATAATGAAATGTGCAAAAAGCTGGATTCTGAAAATCAAAGAGAACAAACTCATTTGGCATTTCCTAAACTGAAGGAATTGAAGAGCAAATTTAATCCTCATGTTGCATACTTAGGGATGTTATAGGCAGAATACTGAATGACCCAGGAAGCATCAAAAGAAGATGGAAGGAGTAAACAGAGTCACTGTACCAAAAAGAACTGGCTGACACACAAAAATTTCAGGAAACAATGTATGATCAACAGGCAGTGGTGATGAAGGAGGAAGTTCAAGACGTTATGAAGGAATTGGTAAAAAACAAGGCTGGCCTGGACATACTGTGCCAAGAAATCTGGAAGACAACTACCTGGCAAACTTACTGGAAGACTGGAAGAGAGCCACATTTAATCCCATTTTTTCTTTTTAAAAAGGTGATGCAATAAAGTGTAAAAATTATCAAACAATATCAGTAATATCACATGCAAGAAAAATCCTGTTGAAGACTATCCAAAACTAACTGGAACAGTACATCAACAGAGAACTCTCAGAAATATAAACTGGGTTTAGAAGAGAATGGTCTGAATTAGGTGTACCTTAATCTTCCAACTGACTTCACTGTTTCTCAGTAATTTGGACAGGTTCTTGCCAACAGACTTTCCCAATGTAATATGTCTTCTGATCTCCTAACTGCTGGAACCAAAGGTACTCATTGTGAATCCAAGTAAGATGGAATTGTTGACAACGGAATCTTTTCTCCATCATCATGATGATTTCTGTTGACTCAGTGGTAAAGATTTTTCTTTTCTTGATGTTGAGATGTAAGGCAGATTGAAAGCTGTAATTTTTGATCTTATGCAGCAAGTGCTTAAAATTTTCCTCACTTTCAGCTAGTAAGGTTGTGTATGCAGCAAGTGCTTAAAATTTTCCTCACTTTCAGCTAGTAAGGTTGTGTAATCTGCATAATGCAGATTGCTGAAAAGTGTTCCTCCAATCTTGACCCCACATTCTTCTTCTCAGAGTCCAGTTTCTCTAATGATTTGCTCAGCATACACACCAAATAGGTATGGAGACAGGATATAGCCCTGAAGCACACCTTTCTTAATTTTAAACTATGTATGGCTCCATGACAAATTATGGGTAGCATTGAAAAGAATGGGAACCCCAGAACACTCCCATGGATGACATTTTCAACTAGACGTAAAGGACAAGACTGCCAGAGATTCTCATCCTTAGAAAGTTGCAAATGGAAATACCATTTGAAGCAGCAACTCAAACTGACATAGGCACACTCAAGTTTATTGCAGCATTATTTACATAGCAATGAGTCAGAAGTAATCCAAGTGTTCATCAAATGACAAATGGAAATGACAAAAAGAAAGTCTGTTACATTCACACAATGGAGTATTATATAGCGTCATTAAAAGAGAGGATCAAGAATTCAACCATGAATGTCTTTTTAAATTACTACCTAACTAGGAAGGAACTGGAGTGCATTATGCTGAGTGAACTCAGTCACACAAGGACAAATACTGTATAAAATCATTGTTGTAGAATGCGTATGAGGATCCAAGGAGAGAAGGGTGGAAGCAAAGTGGTGAGGATGGGCCAGGGGTTGGGGTGTTAATAATAGAGTTGCTCTACAACCAGGAGAAGATAAAATAGATGAATGGGACCTTCTAAGAATCAAATCCCTATGCACATCCAAAAACTTCTCCAACAGAGTAAAAAGGGAAGCCACAGACTGGGAAAAAATATTTGGTAATGACATGTCAGATAAGGGACTTATATCTGGAATTTATAAAATACTTGAACACCACAATAAGATAAAGGTAAATAATCCAATAGAAAAATGGGCACAGGATATGAACAGACACTTCACCGAAGAAGACATTCAGATGGCCAACAAGCACATGAAGAAATGTTCAAAGTCCCTAGCTCTAAGAGAGATGCAAATCAAAACAACTATGAGATATCATCTCACCCCAGTAAGAATAGCAAAATAGAACAGCAAGCAACAAATGCTGGCGAGGATGTGGAGAAACTGGAACTCTTATTCACTGTTGGTGGGAATGTAAGATGGTGCAACCATTGTGGAAGGTGGTGTGGCACTTTCTCAAAAAATTGCAAATAGAGATGCCATTTGACCCAGCAATCCCATTACTGGGAATATACCCCAGAGAGACCATGTCTGCCATCCAAGCAGATATATGCACACCCATGTTTATTGCAGCTTTGTTTACAATAGCAAAGAGTTGGAAGCAGCCTAAGGGCCCATCAACAAACGAATGGATAGAGAAGCTGTGGTATAGCCACACAGTGGAATACTACGCAGCACTGAAAAACAAGGAACTCATGCAATATTATTCAAAGTGGGTGACCCTGGAGGACATTATGCTGAGTGAAATATCTCAGTCACAAAGGGACAAATACTGCATGGTGCCACTGTTGTAGAATGGGTCTCACATCAGGGTAGGGGTATGACAGAAAAAAACTGGACAAATGATGTATATTGTATTGAAAGAGATGAGGGAAAAAACAGATTAGAAGTGATATATGATTGAGTATTATGGCTAGCACAGGAATCCAGAATTAAGGTTGCATAGAGAAGTGTACTCGGGGTGGGGTGTGAGGGGAAGGGACGTGGGAATTGTATACTAATGAAGGAATTTTTTTTATTTTTTTTTTCTCTCTTCGGAGGGGGAAGCGAGCTGGTGGGGAGGGGTGGGAAGGGAGAAAATTGCGGCAATGAATGAATGGAAATCCAAAACCTCTGTAAAAAAAAAATAGAGTTGCACAATTTGATGGGTGGGGGATGTGAAGGAAATGGGAAGGATCTTTTGTGAAAAACAATCTATTCAAACTTTGTAAATAAACCAATATAATTTTTTTTAAAAAAGTACTATTATGAAAAGCTATAGTCCAACACATTTGAAAATCTAGAGGAAATGGACAAATTTTTAGAAACTCACACCCTACCCAAGTTTATGGCATGAACAGGTTTTCAAGCATAGCCAATGCACACTAGGAGAGTATAAAACAGATGAATGGGGTCTTCTAAAACATCAAATCCTTATGTGTATCATAAAACCTCTATAATAGGGTGAAAATATAGGCTCACAAAATGAGGGGAATATATTTGGCAATGACATATCTGACAAGGCACTAAAAGTTATAAAATACTATAGCATCTCAATTAAAAAAGACTAACAATGCAATTACAAATGGGTAGAAGATATAAAAAAGACTCTTTTCCAAAGAGGATATTCAGAGGGTCAACAAGAACATGAAGAAATGTTCAGAATCACTGTTTTAGAGAGATGAAACCCTCCCCCAGACTCCTCCCCCCAAAAGAATGCGGTACCATCTCACCCCAGTAACAATAGCAAAGTTTAACAGGACAGCAAACAATAAAGGTTAGTAAGAATGTGGAGAGACTGGGAACTCTCATGCACTGCTTGTGGGAATCTAAAATAGCACAGCTATGGAAGGCAGTCTGGTGTTTCCTAAAAAAGGTGAAAATAGAAATTCCATTTGACTCAACTATACTACTACTGTGAATATACCCTGAGGAACTTAGAGCTAAGACACAAATATATGCACACCTATGTTTATTACAACATTATTCTCAATAGTAAGGAGACAGAAACAGCCCAAGTGCCCTTAAACAAATGAATGGAGTTACCAGTGGTCCGATCACACAGTGGAATAATACTATGCAGCATCAGAAAACAAGGATGAACTTGTGAAACATTATACAACATGGAGGTCTAGAGAGCATTATGCAGAGTACAAGATCTCAGTTAGAAATGGAGAAACATGATGTAAGAACTCTGGTGGCAGTGGAAAGGCATTCCTGTGGTCTCTTCGCTGTGTGCTTTGCTGTTGGTGTGACAAGGCACTTACCGATGTTTCCGACATGCACCCCCATTCCTGTTACTCTGTAAGGTGGAATGAACTACAGTTGTTGAATATTTGCATCCACTGCATCAAGCATGGACTATCAAGTGTTTGTCTCCATTGTTTTGTCCTTTTTTTACCAACTACAGATTGCAGTTAATATCACAAAACAAATGATTGAATAAAAACCAATTAAAATGTCCTTTTTTTTAAATGAAGGCATCATAAAACAAGTTTACAAATTCAGCAGACATTTTAAGCCAAAATTATTAAGGCCCTGGATGCAAATATTCATCTCCATAATGACCGCTTCGTAATAAAGAAAATAGTAAATTCATACCTGAATGAACTTCCGTCTAAAAGCTCCAAGGCCTGGAACGTTCAGGTCTCCCAACACTGCATACAGTCTGTCATACAGCTCTTTAATTCTTTTTTTATTAATATGAGTTTTTGCTAGTTCATCTTTGATATCATCAGTCCAATCCTGTTGAAGTTTAAACAACAACAAAAAACAAACCTCAAACTCCAATTTAAGATTTTATCTCAGGTCTTCTGTATGTGTCAGATGATGTGATAGTACCTTAAAGAGCATTTCGGGATTGGAGAGTTGTTCTAAGGCATTAATGAAGTCCTGAATCATTCCTCCTTGAGCTAGCTTACTTTTTATCCTGTAAGATAATTTATCAAGTTAAAAAAATTTAGCAACTTTAAGTAACCAGAAGGGACAACTTAAAAATCTCTCCAGGGCACAAAGTATTTATTCTAATCAAGAGGTGATGGTATTTTAGACATAAAAGCAAATTGTCTTGCAAGTGCTCTTAGTATTGTTTTCTAGCATCTTTTGATGCATGCAATTTGAAAAGATTTGAAATTTCTGGTTATCAATCTTTTTCCTCCTTCTTTTTGAAAAACCCTCCTCTATACTTGTCTGAATGGGTAACTCTGTGAATGGTAAAAAACCCAACAAACTCTCAATAGAGAATGTGTGTCAAAGTACCATGAGTTTACAGAGTACTCTTGTAAAACTAATAAGCCATTGCTACTTGAGTCAATTGTCCCCATTATAACTTAATCAGTTGGAGCCTTGACCCTGAAGGTAGTTTACTTTGTCATAATGAAGAGAAGGGGTCTTCCTATATATTTTTGGCTGAAGATCAGGTTTGCTGGTGTAATCATTAGGTGCTGTTGACTCACAGCGACCTGAACTCTGTACTATCCTATGCCGTCCTCGTCATCTCTGAAACACTAGAGCTTATTGCTTAAGTCACATGTCAACCATCTAGCTGGAGGGTCTTCCTCTCCTTCGCTGAACTCCATCTTTCTAAGCATGATGTTCCTTTCTAAGGAATAGCCTCACCTAGCTACATGTCCAAAGTACAAAAGAAGAAGCTTTGCCATCTTTTTTTCCAAGGTGTACTCTAGCTGCACTTTTCCCAGGACAAATCTGTTTGTTCTTTTGGCAGCCCACAGGGTACTCAATACTCTTCTCTAACACCACAACTCAAATGTATAAATTCTTCTTCTGCCATCTTTATTCACTGTCCAACTTTTAGATGCATAGCAGGTGACTGAAAAGATCATGGTCAAGATCAGGCACACCTTAGTCTTCACACTGACATCTTTGCTCTCCAGTAATTCAGAAAGGTCCCTGACAGCAGACATGGTCAGTGTAATACTTCTCCTGATTTTCTGACTGTTGGTAGCAAGGGTGTTTATTGTTAATCTAAGCAAGATGAAATAGTTTATAACTTCAACCCTTTCTCTACCTATCATAATGTTAACTGTTGGTCCTGTAGTAAGGACCTTTGTTTTCTTGATTTTTAAGATGTAATTCACACCAAATTTTGTCATCTTGATTTTGTGCAGCAGGCCTTTCATAGTCTACTTTCAGCAAGCAAAGTGGTGTCATACGACATGTACAATGCAGGTTGTTGATGAGTCTTCCTCTAATCTTGATGCCACATTCTTCTTCATAGAATCCAACTTCACAAATTATTTGCTCAGGATACAGACTGAATTGGTATGGAGAAAGGGCTACAACCCTGATGCACATCTTTCCTGATTTTAAACCATGCAGTGTTCCCTTGCTCTTTTCAGACAACAGCTTCTTGGTCTAGGTATAGATTCTGTTTAAGTACAATTAAGTGTTCCAAGATTTCCATTCTTCTCAATGTTAGCCATAATTGTTATTATCTACAGTCAAATGTCTTTGCATAGTCAATAACACACAAATAGATATTCTTCTGGTCTATTTTCTGCTCTTAGCCAGGATCCATCTACATCAGCAATGATATCCCTGGTGCCATAATCTCTTTTAAACCCAGCCTGAACTTCTGATACTTCCCTGTCAATGTACATTTAAACTGTTTTTGAATGATCTTCAGCAGTGTTCTTCTTGCATCTGATATTAATGATATTGTTCAATAATTTCCACATTCTGTCAGATCACCTTTCTTGGTAATGGGGACAAATATTGATCTCTTCAAGTCAGTTGGCCAAGTAGCTCTATTTTAAATTTCCTCCAATAAACTGGTGAGCACATCAAGGGCTGTATCTGTTAGTTGACATATGTCAATGGGTATTCCATCTGACTTAAAAAAAAAATCTCATCCTGTTTCCCAAGCAACAGATAACAACTGTGAAAGCAAAGAGCAAAGACAGATGTTATAGTAGAATAATATTCTATTATACAATGTGTTTTAAAAGGAAAGAAACTGTAACACAATCATAAAGTTCCATGTGTTTACTATATGCATTTTTTTATACATCTGATTTGATCAGATCAATTTCTCTCTAACGTCACCTTGCCACAAACGCCTTATTCTTCTGACCAGCAGAACTGTCTTTGAAGGCGTAGTTCTCACTGCTGATCATGAAGGGGTAGAGGAGGGCTTGTGGGTAGTTGTCAGCAAGCTCTTCCACTGTGTGCTGCACAGCTACAGCCTCGTCTTTGTCCAGTAATGCCACCAAGTGGCTGATCCAGCCAATGAACTGCCAACAAGGAATGGTGCATATCTGAAACACAGAGCTGTGCTTTAAAGAATGAAGAAGACCACCTTCAATCAGGTTTTATTACAAAAGTCACACATGACCAGTAAGAAAAAGAAAAAAAATATGAGGAGTGTAAATAAAACGAAATAAAATGAAAGCAAACAAAACTCAACCCTCTCCTGTCTCAGTCCTCTCAACATTTTTCTCAAGGGAACCCCTAAACTCTTTGACAATTCCAAGCCACTACTGTGGGGCTGACTCCTCCTCCTAGCATGGTGCGGGGCAGAGCAGAATCTCCTACGGTACTTCCAAGGCTGTAATCTTTCCACAAGCAGATGTTACATCTCTCTCCCCTAAACTGGCTTTGTAATTGGCAGTCAAGCTCTAAGTCAATGCACCCCGGGGCTATGTGTGTGCATATACACACATTCCTTTGGGTTCTTGTACAGACCAAGCATTCCTATAATGTCTACTAAGATGGTTAAGTGTGAGCATTTAATTATACAGTTCTAAATTACATATACTTTGGGGACAAAGTACACATTTATAGGTGGGTAAATGTGTGTATATGTTTTAAGTTCTATAAAGTGGCACTTCTCTAGAACATAGATACTAACCTCTTTTGTCATTAGACTCAAAGTCTCCTCGGGATACTCTTCTATAATCTGAAGTAGTCTTGGAAATTTTAACCTGGCTTCAGGTGAATTTAATTTTAAAGCTTTCAACATTTTCTCCACCACAATTGCTGGATACATTTTTAGTTCTACAGAATCAATAGTTATCAAAGAAAATAAAAGTCAGTATATCCACTTACATATAAATGATAAGCTTATTAACAAATTATTCTACTTTCTCTTTGGGGCTTATACTTTGGTGGTATGTCACGGTTCTCTTTTTAACTATTATTTTGGACCACAAGTGTAAGTTTTTATCTTGAAGATTAATTCTTCTATTATAATATCCATTCAGCAAGAAGCATCTATTGGCCATGGAATCTATTCCATGAGCAAGGGATAGACCACTTGAGCCAGTGGTACCAAAGCTGCAAGCAATACAGAAACTTGTACCAGAAAGACAGAAAACAACTAGTATCACTTAGATATTGGCATATTAGTGGAGATGCCATAAAAAGACAACAGACTTCTCTCAGAGCATTCGTCATGGGAAAATCTGGAATCACATGGTGATGATTGCATAACATGATGAATGTAATTCATGTCAATTAACTGACAAATAAAACATATTCAAAGAATGAATGTTTGGTTATATATACACAGACCACACTAGGGAAAAAATGAGCAAATTGATAAAGGATTGATGAATGGATGCACGAACGAAAAAACCAACAACAGACTTTATTCTAACAAAATGACACTTACCGGATGCATTCTCTTTCTCCTTCCGAAGCTCTCGATCACAGAAATTTACCAAAGTCATGTAGGCCTCTATTACTCCAGCCACATGGGGATGGTCGCTGGAGGAAGGCGGGGTCTCCTCCTCAGCACTCCTTGCAGCTTGAGAAAGGAACTGGAAGGCCTTCTCACAGAGGCCTCCTATCACCTGCAATTCAGGGACACAACTGCATGCAGCTGAAGCTCTTTCAGAGGACTCTCTCTCTGACGTGATTCATCCCCTAAGTAATCAACAGTGATTAGCTCAGAGAATAAGTTACTAGAAGCTGGACTATATAAAGAAGAATATGGATCCTCCTCAGGAGTAAAAAACTAATCAAAAACTTGCATTAGGTAGATGACATAATAACCTTGCTTGCTTAGAGTAGAAAGGACTTTAAGCACTTGCTGCAGAAGATCAAGGACTAGAGCCTTCTATATGCACTGTATCTCAACATCAAAACAAACAGCATCATCACTGGATCAACAGGCAACAATCATGATAGATGGAGAAACGACTGAAACTATCAATAATTTCATCTTACTTGGGTCCACAAGCCTTGGAACCAAAGTCAAGAAATCAAAAGATGTGCTTCCCTGGAAAAAAAAAATCTGCTGTAAAAGATCTCTCCAATGTGGTAAAGAGCAAAGATGTCATGTTAAAGACTAAGGTACACCCAAACCAACCCATGGCCTTCTCAATTACTTGCTATGAATCTACAAAAGTTGGACAACAAATAAAGATGACAGAAGAAGAATCGATGCCTTTGAGTTGTAGTGTTGGAGAAGAGCTTTGAATATCTCATGGACTGCCAACAGAACAAACAAAAAATCTTGGGGGAAAGCACAACCAGAGTGCTCATTAGAGGTCAGGATGGTGGAACTTTTTTCACATACTTTGGACAGGAGGGACTACTCTTTGGAAAAAGGCATCATGCTGGGAAAGGTGGAGAGTCAGAGAAAGATAGGAAGAGTCTTTACAGAATGAACAGACACAGTGACTCTAACAATGGGCTCAAGAATGCCAGAGACGTTGATGAGGATATTGTAGAACAGAGAAAGGTTCAGATCCACTGTTTTTCGATGTTTAGTCACTAGGAATTGTGTGTGTGTGTGTGTGTGTGTGTGTGTGTGCGCGCGCGCCGTCAAATTGGATCTGACTGGTACAGGAGGAGATTGTTCTTCCTTCTCCAGCAGAGCATTCGGTGAATTCAAACAGCGCCTCTGGGACTGCAGTGCAGCTTCTTGCCACTAGGCCACCAGAGCTCACCAGGGACATCCTATGACACTTAACCACAACAAAGGTAAGAGAATCTGCACTGACTAAGAAGTAGTCATTCCAATCAGATCCCGAGTACAAAAAAACCAAGCAAACAGACAGGGTTTGACGGCACCCTCAGGTAAATTTAGAAAAAGAAGATTCTCTCTCTTCTGGGTGCAGAGCAGAATGATTTAAATACCACCACTCCTGATCTCAATTTTTTTTTTTAATAATTTTAATGAGCGTTTACAGAGATTGTGGATTTCCATTCATTCATTGTCGCACTTCTCTCCCTGGCCTGATCTCAAATTTTTTATTTACAGCCTAAATATTGGGCTGTAAATTTCCTCTCAGTTATTAAAGTGAAGAGATTTCTGAAAACCCAAAATCCCTGTAAATGTTCATTAATACTAATAAAATGAAAAAAAAAAAAAAAAAGATTTCTTTGTGAAAGGAAGCCAGTGGTTATTCTAAGTCTTAAATATTACTTTTGAGTCCTTCTTTTCTTTTCTTCTGAGCTAACATGAAAGAGTTTTAAATTCTAATGGGCTAGTTGCCCATGTTCTCAGGGGAAGAACACAGGCGTGAGCAATCCCGAGAAAGGTGAGGGAAGGCTGGCAACCATCCAAAGCATAGAACACCAGCAAAGTGATGACCACTCAAGAACCAAAGGAAAAAGAGAGAAGAATAATTCCCTTCATTAAGAAAGGGCAGAATGGCTACTGGCAGAGAACGTTATTAAAGTACTTGGTGAATTACTGGCATCAATCAGACAAATTTCCCACTTTTTATGGCAAAAAATAACTAACATTCAAATACACTGGAACTTAGGGAATATGCCAATCTTTCTATGTAGGAATCCACAAACTCAACTATGCATAAATGGCAGATATATTAAAATACATGCACACACACAAAGCAATATCTTTTGTTTTATAGCCAAACAACTTAATGGCATAAAAAATTCATTCTTTCAGAATTTATTACCTTTTCTGTGTCCTCTGAATTAGATCCAGATAGTTCTGTGATTCTTCTAACTCTGCTTTCCTCGATGTGTGCAAAGCTAGTAGGCTCACTGCTGAGAACATCGGCCAGGATCTGGTAAGTGGTACCCAGGATGATGTGCTGATCACGAAAAGCTGGAACACTGCTGCTTAAGCATCTTGACATGTTCTCATCTGTTAGATTAAAAAATGATTTTGTTTCTCAAGTAAGTGAATATTGTAAATTAGAAGACATTCATAGAATGCCAAAAAGATCTTGCTTCCCGCGATAGAAAAGAATCTGGTTTCATATTGGTGTAAGAAGTTTCTGAACTGACTTATTATTTAAAAATGTCCTTTGTTAAAGCAAATATAATGTCTAGAGAATAAGAAACTAAAAGTAAAAACTCATTTTTATTCAAATAACAGCCTTGTACATTCTGCCAAAGCACCTAGTCTGTCTGCTGGAAATAACAGAAAATGAGTTTCATTAATACATTTGTGCATGTGTTTACATTGACACAATGGATCAGGGCAGAGATTTACTTCCCAAATATCTGATGGAGAAGTAGAAAGAATAGTTTTAAAAGCATAAGACAGTAATCTATAAGGTAAATACAGCAAATCTAATACCCAACAAGGAGATGGTTTTCAGCACAGTGAGGATCTTGTCGGGGTGGTGTTGGGTCTGGCTGCGGCAGCAGCTCAGTCGGCAGTAGCTATGCACCCATCTCACCAGCCAGTCTTCTCTGGTTTTTGACTCTTTATGCAGCTCCTTCAACAGCTTCATGGCAAGTGAGAAGTTGTTCTATAAAGACAGAAGAAAAAATGTTGACATATAGATATTTTGGAAATAGAAGGATTTTACAAAAGAGTTAATTGCATTGCTTCTTTTATTATCTGACATAATCTTACCAAAACCACAGAACTAATTGGAGAAGAAGAGGTGAGTCTGGAGCTGGGCCAGGAAAGCTCAAACCACCCATACAAGGTTATGTGTGGAGCAATAAGCTTGTTTATTTTCTCCTGGGTACAGGTGGGTTGAGCTCTCAAATTAGAAGTCAGCAGCTGCTGCTGTTAGTGGGGGATTTATATACAAGAGACTGTTGGTGGGGTCAGCAGATCACATGAAGATGTCTCAGCTGGGCAGTATTCTGTTGGCATCTTTTTCTTATCTTGCATGTGCAGTCTTAGGTCTACTCTTTTTCTGTGGTAGTCCTGGAATGTCATGATTTTTGTCAGTTTAGCTTTCCTTGAGCAGGCTAGAACTAGGGGGAGGACTTTATCTGAGAAGTAGCAATTCTAGTGACAATGAGGCCACTGAATTGATCCTGACTCAACAACTCTCTACCAGGTTTATGAGACTGTAAGCCTTAACATACTCAATTTTTCTGTCATTCCTATACATTGTCCAGCTCTCAGATGCATAGCAAGTGATCAGAAAAACCACAGCTTGAATCAGATGCACCTTAGTCCTCAAACTGACATCATTAGTTCTCAGTAATTTAGAGAAGTCACTGACTGCAGACTTTGCTAGTGCAATACATCTCCTGATTTCCTGATTGTTGTTATCAACAGTGGGTTAACTGTGGATCCAATTAAGATGAAGTTGTTGACAGTTTCAGTCTCTTTTCCATCCACAATGATGTTGCCTATCAGTCCAGTGGTAAGAATCTCTTTTCTTCTTGAAGAAGAACTGATGCCTTTGTGCTGTATTGTTGGAGAAGAGCAATGGACATCCCCTGGACTATCAAAAGTTGTTTAACAAACATGTCTTGGAAAGGATGCACCTGGAGTGTTCTTTGGAGCCAAGGAAGATGAGGCTTTGCCTCACATACTTTGGGCATGTTGCTAGAAGGGTTTATTCCTTGGAGAGGGATATGATATTGGAAAAGGCAGAGGGTCAGCAAAGCAAAGAAAGACCCTCAAGCAGGTGGGTTGACATGGTGACTGCCACAATGAGCTATAGTGTGTCAGGAAGAGTGAGGATGGCACAAGGTTCAGAGCCGCTGTTCATAGGGTCGCTATGAAGTCATACTCAACTTGATGGCACCTAACAACAACAACAACAACAAACTTTAGCAGGAGAAGGTATCTTTCTCCCTCACAGCAGCTGAGGGATTCAAACTCATGAGGCATTTTGGTTAGCAATACCACACACTATGGCTTATGCTAGCAGAGCTCTTTAGAATTTATCCTGTTGTTTTTAGGTGCCTTTGAGTTAGTACTGACCCACAGTTAACATCCAGTGGGTTTTCAGAGACAGTTAATCACAGGGGAGGAGAATACTAATCTTTCTTCCATGGAGCAGGAGGTAATTCGAACCATTGCAGTGCAGTTTCCTAGCACTAGGCCATCAGAGCACCATTTAAGTAATTGTTGTTGAGTACTGTCATGTCAGAATCAAACCACAGCTGACCCTCTAGTGGGTTTTCAGAGGCAGTGAAACAAATGGGGGGAGATGGCCCATCCTTCTCCTGCAGAGCAGCTGGTTAATTTGAACCGTGGGATTGCAGCACAGCTTCTTACTACTAGGCCACCAGAGCTCCCTTTAAATGATTAGGAGGTTTGTATTATACCTTACAGGCTTCCTGGTAAACGATAAGAGTTTCTTCAAGCTCATTTTCTTACCGAAGAGAAAAAATAACAACTTAATTATATTTACACTTCAGATTTTCAATAAATATTAAGTTAGGAAAAAATGGTTCATTTTAGAAATTTCAGCAACATACCAAACCTGGCCCGCTGCCATCAAGTCTCTTCTGATTCATAGTGAACCTCAATGACAGAGCAGACTGTCCCATAAGGTTGCTAAGGCTGTAAATGGTGACATCTTTCTGTCATGGAGCAGCTGGTGGATTCAAACTGCTGACCTTTGGGTCAGCAGTCAAATGTTTAACCATTGCACCATCAAGGCTCATTAATAACACAGAAGATGTATATGAGTACCTGTACCCACCTGTTTTCGTGCACTTTCTATCATCTTCATTTTCATAGAAAACTTATAGCTCTTCATCAGGGAATAAACATCTTCTTGCTTTTGGGTTTCTATCATGTCAGCAGAATCTCTATCTCCATCCACTTCCATCCGATGATCTTCTGGAGGAAGAGTAAGTTTTTCCTCTATTTTGCTGAGGAAAAAGCACCTGCACAAAACAAACAGGAATTATTTATACTAGAGACTCATGAAAGGAATTTCTGATATGAAAGGAGCTACTGGGTGGCATTCAGACAAATCTTTGAGCTATCAAGGCTTGCTCACATTCAGCCTATAAGTGTATGCAGTATTTAATCTCCATTCTATAAAAGAAATAGATTACAAGGGAATATTCCAGATCTCATTTACTGTCTCCACTACTACAAAATAAAGTCTTTTTAAAAAAAATATTTTAAAATTTCATTTTATTATTATTTGCATGTGTACCGCCAAATCGGACCTGACTGGTACAGGAGGAGATTGGCCCTCCTACTCCAGCAGAGCATCTGGTGGATTTGAACAACATACCTCTGGGATTGCAGTGCAGAAAATAAAGTCTTTAAAACACAATTTTCTCTCTTAAAAATTGCATAGCATACCCTATGTTGGATCAAAACTGATGTTCTCTTCATATCCCTAAATAAAGTCTTATTCTTTCTCAAAAGTAAAATGCAAAAGAGCAAACAGACTAATCACTAAGAGTTATTTATAATAAGGCAAGTTGATATACATTACTATAATTTTTATCATATATATATATATATATATATATATATATATATATATATATATATATATATGGCTTTGTTCTAATAATACATGATTTTTATTATTATCAATAACAATGACAATATATCTTCACATAAAAAAGTTACCTGTCAAAAGGGCAGGGATAAAGTTCAGAAGGATGAATGGAAGCCATAAACAGAGGGAGAAGGTAGGAAGACATGAGGGAGGAAGATGAGCAAATGTACTTCCATAAAGACTTACGATCTTAGATATCCTACAGACAATTTTGCTCTGTCATTGAGGGTTACTAAGAGTCAGAACTGACGAGACAGTAATGGGTTTCTAGTTGGAATAAACAAGAAAAAAAAATAAAAGATCATACATCTGCATATGGTGTAAATATATCCATGCACACGGTAGCGCCAATAGGCAACAAAGTTATTATAAAACTCTTAATCATAGCTCAACACCCTGACGGAATGAGTTGCTAGTCCAAGTCCCCAAACCATCCAGTTGTGGGCGGGGAATCAAAGTCTTCTGGCATAAATTGTACATAAAACCACTTCTCTACATCGTATTTTGGTGAGGAACAACTACAGACTTAAAGCTTGCAAGTGGCCATCTAAGGTGCAACTACAGGTCTCTCTGGAACCAAGAAAAGTAGAGTTCAAAGATAGAAACAAAGATGTAATAATAATGGAGACAGAAATTTTAAACTCCAATACACTGAAGAACTAGATGGGACCCTCAGTAGAGGTTTCTCAATAGAGCAGGAGAAAAATATGGAGCAAAACAATTAAAAAAAAATTACCAAGATGGTTAGTCTAATAGTTATTGATTGTCTTCGAGTCGAGCACAACTCATAATGACCCTATGAACAAACTATTGACATTTATCAAAGTTTACAGAGTTTCCGGAGGTATGTTATTTAAGAAGTAGATGCCACTCCTGCTTCCAAACCTGTCATAGTATGTTACTATTGTTATGTGCCATAAGTCGCCTGTGATGTATAGCAACCCTACGTACAGCAGCTCTGAACCCTTCCCTGTCCTGAGGGAGCCATTCTCATTAATTCTGACACATTAATCCCCATTGTCCCAGTTACTGTATCAATCCATCCTATCCAGGGTCTCCCTTTCCTGCGCTGTCTGTCCACCCTTCCGCGCATGATGTCCTTCTCCAAGGACTGATCTCTCCTGGCCACATGCCCAAAGTAAGTGAAGCAGAGCTTCATAATCCTAGCCTCCAAGGAGAGACTTGTCTTCTCCAAAACAGACCTATTTTTTTTTCTTGTCAGTACATGGTATGTTCAAGATTCTTCTCCAGTATCACAACTCAAAGTTATCTACTCTTCTTCTGTCGTCCTTAGT